AGCTACTGCTCTGTGACACAGCGTCCATATTTCTGTATTGAAATAATTTTTCAGAAAAGCAATCACGAAATTCAACGTTAATTAATTTAGAAGAAAAATGTGGGAGCTGAGTTATGTTTTCTTAACGCTTAAGGGCAGCTCGGAAACATCACAAAAGAGAGTTGACTATAGCGCACTGATCATTTGAAATAAACCAATCTCGCGTCAATTATGATTGCCTAATTTAGTCACTGACTTTATTTTTTTTTTTTTTGGAAGTAAACTCACCTATGATTCAGATATTGACTACATCTCGTGTCACCATTACACACATTCATTGGACATGCTCAGTGTTACCTCTTCGTTTGATTTGTGTATTTATAGACATTGAATTAACCCATTGATATACTCACACTTTTCGGGAGCCTCACGAAGGTCGGGGATAGCCACTTGACACAACTGACGCACGCGTTGTTGTCAGTACATCCTGGACTTAATCTTGTTTTACGCCACCGAGTAGTGCTACTTTGATCAAATATGGACATATTTATGTTTGTATTGGAAACGAGACTGTGGTTCCGAGTAAAGGACTCTTAAATCGCAAAGATAACGACAAATCGCTTGTTCCACGCGCCAAGATTGACAAGCCGCCGCAGGAAGCCAGTCTTACGAAGAGAAAGTTACAACAGTTAATGAAGTACATTTTGATGTTTGGTTAACACGATGGACGAGCTTTATTAGATCATTCGTCACGGATACTATGATAGCTGTAATTGTCGATATAGTTTTGAACTGTTATCACGACCGTTGAACTAAAACTTCGCTTTGAATGTGCATAATTTGATCAAATTAAACTGTCAGAAGAACTCAGGACTTTGCTTTTAGGCATAGTAAACTTGCTATTTGGCTACGTGAGCTTGCTTTTAGATAAAACTAAACTTGCTCTTAGGTAAAGTAATGCAGAGCAACAATTCTAACTGGTTAGCAGCATATAAACGACTTCAAATGTGTATGCTCTCTAAACATTAATGAGTCTTAATCCCATGATTAAATTGAGAAACAAAACAAGATCTACTTCCTCGCATATCACTTAAAATTTTGCCTGGAAAAACCAGAAATGTCACGTTTTGATCATTGGAAAGAAAACAAAAAAAAATATTTAATTTCGGGAATACAAGTTTGTCGATGTCAATTTCATATATCGGATCTAATTTTATAATAATCTTAAATTGTCATTGATATTTCTTTTCCGGAGAATTGGGTTTTTAAAATTTGTTTTACACCATCAAGACGTCATATGATCTCTGGCAATGATTTTTATACATTTTAAATAGTTTGACATCCTCAAGACGTCATATGATCTCTGGCAATGATTTTTATACATTTTAAATAGTTTGACATCCTCAAGACGTCATATGATCTCTGGCAATGATTTTTATACATTTTAAATAGTTTGACATCCTCAAGACGTCATATGATCTCTGGCAATGATTTTTATACATTTTAAATAGTTTGACATCCTCAAGACGTCATATGATCTCTGGCAATGATTTTTATACATTTTAAATAGTTTGACATCCTCAAGACGTCATATGATCTCTGGCAATGATTTTTATACATTTTAAATAGTTTGAAACTCTCAAGATGTCAAATGATGTTTGGCAAAGAGTTTAATACATTTTAAGTTCGCAATCTTTTCTTTTCTGCACTAGCGAGAATGCATCTAAAATACTTCTAATTTCAAACTTTACATTTCGCACTTGATAAAAATATCATTTGGCTGTTAATGAGAGTCACAATAGTGTGTGTATAAATCACCATACAGAAATATCCATATGTTGAAACTGCTGACAATTTTTTTTTTAAATTTTTAAAGTGACAATCTCTACACCATAGTCGCTGGAGCTAAATGATATTTTCAATAACAATTTAAAAGTTTTAAAAAATGTGATTAATTATTTCAGTCCGGTAAGATCTGTCGATTTAAATTGAAATGAACTTTGTTTTTAACAAAATGCTTTACGCTATAGATTATCAAATCTGACCAATTAGTTTCGGATCCCGCGCAGTTTCTATTGATAAAAATTCTTTGCTTTACGATGGCCACCGTATGTGTTAGTCTCCTTCAGTTGTACAACGGCTATGGTTCATCTCGTAGAAAGATTATGGTTCATGTCATAGAAAGACTATGGTTCATCTCGTAGAAAGACTATGGTTCATCTCGTAGAAAGACTATGGTTCATCTCGTAGAAAGACTATGGTTCATCTCGTAGAAAGACTATGGTTTATCTCGTAGTAAGACTGTGGTTCAAATCGTAGAAAGACTGTGGTTCATCTCGTAGAAAGACTATGGTTCATCTCGTAGAAAGACTATGGTTTATCTCGTAGTAAGACTGTGGTTCAAATCGTAGAAAGACTGTGGTTCATCTCGTAGAAAAACTTTTTTATGTGACTGTAGAGCCCTATTGTCGAGAGACATTGCCTTTCACATTTATCGCAGGTTAAGTTGGCATTCAATTTGATGGTGTTTGTTTGTAAAATGTTTTACATGTTTCGGATGTTCCTTCAGAGTTGAAGATAGTTTACTTCCTAGTCCAAACCTCCCGCAGGACGACGGGGGATGGGAGCGGGCAGGGTTTGAACCCGGGACCATCGATAAATCCGAGCGACAGTCCAGCGTGCAAACCGCACGACCAGGCAGCCAGGCAGATGGTAGAGGAACGACCCATGTTTCTTTTGGCATATTTTTCTTTCAGAGCTAGCTGAGGTCAATGCTTTTTCGCTGTCCGTAGCTTTTTGCTCACCATTTCTCTCCACATAGTGCGGTGTAGGGCTAGGGCTATGTCTTCCCAGTAGTCAGCATCAATGTTCATTAATTTAACGTCCCGTTTGATTACATCCACACAATGGAGGTTGGGACGACCATTTTTCCTGAGACAGTCGCAAGTTAACCATTGTCCATCATTTGGCGAACATGACTAGGCCATCACAAGGGGCGTCGTATGAGAATTGTAATGATGCTAAGAAGACCTGTTTCAGCAAGTCTCTCAGTCTGAAACACTCTTTCTTGCCATGTGAATCCTTCGGAGGCAGCGCTAGTGAAAGGAATCTAGATGGTAATGAAGAAACTGCGACAGATTTCTCTCTAACTCAAGCTTTCTCTGAGTTTTCAGGGTAATAATGTAAAAATGAATTCAATCTTTAGCACCACGAAACTAATATAATTGAAAGTTAAAGCCTTCAAATCCTAAATTCTAAAATCTAGGCCTACATTGACAATTGCTACAAGTTGCCAGATTTCTTGCGCTTTGCCGACGACATCGATGGTCTGACATAGACATGACTTCAGAAGCTTAAGGTGTAAAACGCAAAAAAAAAAAAAAAAAAATAATGGCCGATAGCCAACAGGGCTTTAAGATGACAAGTGTCAGTAGTTTTAACTCTTTCTCTCCTAACTGACGATACCAACGTTGATTCCACCAGTATGTGAGAGAAAGAGTTAAATATCTCGGACCAATTGTCTCTGAGAAGGTACCAAACTTGAACTATTTACCTATATTACACGGTCTTCAGCACCACTTACATGCAAAACTCAAAACAGTCTGGAAAGACAAAGACATAGCCCTTCAGACTAAAATCAGACTGATGCGCTTCCTGGTCATGGCCATATTCTGAAAAGCTTGCGAATCTTGGACTCTGATGATTGCAGAACAAAAGAGGTGGATCTAGCAATGGTATAGAGAAGCTTAAGAAAGATCCTGCGCATCACTTAAAAAGACAGCATCGCAATGAAGAGATTATAAACAGGGTTAATACAGCAATTAGACCCTACGATGAATTGCTAACTACTGTCAAAGAAAAAAAATCAAACTAAAACGCTAAGCCAATATCCAAAAGGTTCTCAGGACTTGCAAAGTCAGGGAACAGTACCATGAACAAGAAGAGGCAGACAGAAAGCTATAAAAACACAACATAAAAGAATGTACCGCCTGTCATTGAAAGAAATTCTATTAAAGACAAAAGACACAGATGAATGGAGAAAGACGGTGAACAGATCTTGTGTGGTGCCCCAACTGACGAAGGGATAAGTGAATAGGAAGATTTACTTATTTTGTTTCACACATTACTTTATCATAAATTTAAATTTCTTTAAATGTGTTGAACTATTGCCTAGTTTTATCGTTATGGAGATCGTTAGCTGAACCTCTGTAAGTAGATCTTGCAATCATGGCATGCTGTAACAATTGATATGACAAGAAACATAGTGTTTACAAACAAGTGAATGTTGTATCTGCAGTGCTGGTGAAGTGAACTCAAGTTTGGTGAGCACTTGCATCCGGTCGTTTGGCTTCACTCTTTTCATTACAAATTTCAAGTACGATGTTGGATGATGCTGTTTCTGTGTTAAATTGACCTACAAGTGTTTGTCTCCCTTGATCCCATTACAAACATGCTTGACGTACGTACGACCTGAAATTACTTAAGTCAAACATCCAATAAGATTGGAAGAATAAATAAACTACTGAAAAGGGGAATCCCCTAATTGATTGCAATTGTAACAACCTCTAAGTGTCTAGGTTTTCAAAATAGTTTAAGTTTTTGTTGTGGTGTTTGAGTCAATTGAATTGCAATACGACGTTTGTTCATTTTCTTTTTTAAAAGATTTAGTACAAATCTGTTGATAATAAAATGATAATTCCACTTGATAGTCTCGAATGACTGTGAACTAGTCTGTCATCAATACTGATCATGTTTTACCCGAGTCTAATCCAATGAAACAGTATGAATTGATGAAATGTAATCATTTTGAGTGAAACTTGGAAATAATGTAGAGGTTAAATCTGCTTTTCAATTATAACTAATTAAAAATGTTAACAGAGCGAGACTTTTTGTATCTGGTAAGTTGAAATGAGAAACAAGAAAAACACACACACAAAACAAAAACTTCAAAAAACAACCCAACCACCAAGCTTATAGGAAGTGTGTAATTGTATCCATTGGTTTGGATCTCAGTCATGTCATTAGGTTTGTACTAGACGTACACCAACAATAATAAACCTGTGTGATTAGAAATATTTTACCATTGTTTTTCTTTAGCGCTATTTAACGCTTTTAGCGTTCTCAATACGCTATAATCCTATCACTTTTCTGGACTCCTATCACTTATCTGGAATCCTATCTTTTATCTGGACTCCTATCCCTTGTCTGTACCAGTTGGGAAAATCGAGGATTGGGAGAGGGGGGGGGGGGAAGAAAGAAAGGATATCTGGGCGAATTTAATCATAATCGCTATTTAAAGGCATTTCTAGAAAAAAAAGAAGGGGGGTGGGCGACCAGAATTTGAACTCATAGCTCAACTCTCCTCAAGCCGACACTCTAACCACTCAAGTCCTGAAGATTGTTTTTATTAATGGCTTCCGTTGTATTTTTACCCGATTTAGTTTCGGAGAATGCAACTATGTCAAATGTATTGATCATACTTACAAATTCTTGGTAATGCAACTTTCTCACTAGTCCACATACAGTTACTTATGCTCATTGTAATACATCGGTTTAGCTAATGACACTTGCTTTGTTCTACGGTTTGTGAGTCTCTCTTGGTAATGGCTGCTGATCTTTTAAGGGTTGCTGTTGTGGTGAATGTTGTTAGGTTGGTTTCCATGGAGGTAGATGGTAGATATTGTGGTTGAAGTGGTTGTCCTTGTTGCAATAAATAGCATTGTTGTAGTGCTTCTTCTTGATGCAGTAGCTGATATTGATGCTGATGTTGCTATTCTTGTGGTAAATGAGATTGTTAGTACTGTTGTTATCGCACATTTTGGTAGTGGTTCGTTGGTTTTTGCTTATATTGCTGGTTTTTATGATGTTGTGGCGATGTTTTGTCGATATTGCTGCTCTTGTTGAGATAGCTGGTATTGCTGGTGCTGATGTTCTCGATGCTGTTGGGGTGTTTTTTATTGGGATGTCTTTCTTGGAGATAGCTGGTACTGATGTTATTCTAGTGATTCTTGTTGCATTGGCTGATATTGCTGTTGGTGTTTCTGTTCTCGTTTGGATAAATGGGACTTCTGGTGCTGTTGTTGTCGAGACTTTTGGTATTGCTTCGTTGGCTGTTGCTCATATTGCAGGTTATTATGATGTTGTGGTCCATCAAAGTATCCTCGTCACATTCTCATGAAAGCCTTCTTGAATGGACAGCACTAACAAACAGGAACAAAACAAAATCATAGCACGGAGAACATTGCACTCGGCGGGGATGTAAGAGACTCTCATGTCAATCTTCTATCCACGAAGCCGTAACTCAAGTTGGGTTTGTTTTACCCATGACGGTAGTGATGATACAGCATAATTATAGAATTTGATTCCTCCCCCCCCCCCCCCCCCCCCCGTGGGGGTATTCATCTCTCGGGTAAGGAGTCAATTAGTCAGTTCCATGAAACAGGTGTGATTGAAAAAGCCTTCAATGACGGGGCTTTTTACGAAAGAGAGATCAATGAAGAAACAATCTTTCCTTAGTGTCTGTTGAATGACGTCCATTCTGCTGGCCAAGGGACTCTAGTAGCTTTGTCTGGAATCTTTTCTGGCGGCACTTTGTAAGCGCACGGAAAGAGAAGCATAAATCATTCAATAGACTAGTATCGCTAGACCTAATTTACATGTCCCTAAAGCACTGTTTCCCAAACCTTTTCCTTAACGGAACACTTCGCACATTCTGAGAATTTAGCGGAACTTTCTGCTGATTGTTCAGAGAGGTTAATTCATGTTGCGGCCTACTTGTTTTCCAGTTGTTCGACGAGCAGATAATCAGACCTCACGGAGCACTACGGTTCCTCGGAAAACAATTTGGAAATCCATTGGTAGGTCACACCTAGTAAGCTGCATATTTAAGCTTATGAAATCTATGGTCGTTAAACAAGGTGTTCCTTGTATGATAAAAGATGAGATTATGCAGTGCACAGTTGTCTCTTCCACCGACCTTGCAATAACATCATAAATTTGTTTATATACTTGCACATAGTAATTAGTATTAAGGTGTGCGAACAGGTATGTGTTGCTAGCTTTACTTGGATAATGTCAACCTATTTATAGACTCTAATTGAGGTAACTAATAATTGCTTTGTGTAGTTCTTGTTACTATGGTAGATTAAATATACAGTCGGATACATTTGTTCTTTTTAAGACATACTATTTATCTTGTTTGAGAGTCCAATCAAAGTCAAACGATTGAACTGTTGAAGTGAGAACATAACTAATGAAAACAAACCTAGCAGTAACGACTAAAATACAAAAGTATTGCATGAAAATCTGATTTATTAGTAAATAAAAAAATGCAATTTCTTTGAAGCCATCTGATGTACAATATTTGCCATGACCGGATATAAATAAGTTGACGTTACGTGGAGGCCACTACACTTTTTCGAAAGCTTTAACAAAAATCCACTAATTAATACTACTATTTATATCTAAAAGCTTGCCATATTTTAGAATAAAGAAATAGATCCATTGTAAATGTAATCTCATTTGCCTTTTTTCTTTCGCAAGTGTAATATATGATTTTATTATTGAAAAAAAATATTTTTGGCTTATTGAATGGTAAGGCTTTGGTTTGGCGCATTGATGAAACTCCAAAGCTGCATTTATATAGAACGAGCTTGCTCCAAGCGGGCACTTTAAAATAATGAAAGTATTTGATCCGTCGGAATTCGGATATATTTTTTAAATTTCTATTGTGGTGACCCCTGTCTTTTGGAGTCCCCGATACATTTAACCCGGTCTGCTCTCTTTTAAGTCCGGCCTTGATAATAGTTACATCTTATATTATCTTGTAATGAAAGGGTGTTAATCACTTTGTTTTCTTGATTGGCTCAATCTTGAATCAGTGACAAAACTTCGAATTTTTTCATTGAGACGTAACATGCCTTATTCAATGGAGTCCTCGAAAGCTGAAACAAAAACAAAACAACTTCCAACTCAAAAATGACAAGAGCAGTATGTACCATGTTATTGGAAGTACCATGGAGGCGAACCATACCATACTATTACAAATACTAATACTATGAAATGATGGTTTTAGTGTCTATAAATTAACTATACTAAGAGTAAAATGTTTTCCAATAAAAACATTCCTATAAATAGGAAACACACAAAAGTCAAGAAAACAAGGTTACAAGAGAGATAGGTGAAAGTGCAAGTGAAATTAGCTGTGAACCTGGCCTAACTGATGTTATAGAATAATTATCCAATTGATCTAATTATTTTCTAAAGGGTCAATCTCTTATTGAAAGCCTCAAGGAAAAAAAAAACATTTCAGCAAAAAAATAAATATTCTCCCTTTCCTTTCGTCCAATGTCCTCATTGCATGTACTAGAGGGCCGTAGTGCACTTGATAATATGAAAAACTACTTATTAAATTTTGTTTTAAATTATGTTCAACTTATATGCATATTAAATAGATTTTTTCTCTTTAATAATCAATAAACATTTTTTTGTTTAAAGTAGTAGTTAATATGACAGAACTTACATAACTTAGCATTACATTTGTAAAAAAAAATTATTTTTTTTGACAAAAATTCTAAACCATTTCCATAAATGTCTTAAAAATATGGAAATAGTCATCTTCCTTATTAAATAGCTTTCAGTAATTGTTACTATTAATAGTGAATAGTTGTAAAAATGGTGTATTTTTATGGAAAAACTGCTTGCGTTGTTAATTTAAAAAATTAAATTTTTCGCCTTCAGAAAAGAAAAAAAGTAGCCGTTACATCAAAACTTTGAATAGTCATGAAGTCTGATTTTCAATATCTTTTCTAGTTTACGAAATCTAAAAGGAACGGACCGAAGGACAGACAGACAGACAGACCACACAAACATAATTGCATCTATTTCCCTTTCGGGGGCGCTAAAAATTTCCCTTTTTTTTCTGTTTTTTTTTTTTCACGCTTTCCAAATAAAATGAACATTTTTGTTTATAGTATTTCTCTAGATCAGTGTTTCTCAAACTGTTCCGCGGAACCATAGTGTTCCACGAGGCCGGAACATTTGTTCCACAAAATACCGGAATAATCTCTCTAAAAAAAAAAAGGGGTTCCGCTAAGAAAAACTTTGTGAAGCACTGGTCTAGATCTCGAGCAGCAAAAAAATATTAAAATATTACCGTGTAGTACAAAATTTCCTTTCGGTGTGAAAATAAATGTTTTTATTTCCCAATAACTTTAAATGTATTTCAAAACTAAATAAGTTTTTTCAATTATAAATGTAATCAAATTATTCATCCAATATAATACAATATTTGTATTTAAAATGCGCATGCATTTTAGCGTTGTTTTTTTTTATACATGACATATTTTTCTAGACAAATAAATTGATACTGTTGAAATAACATGCGCTCTATAAACAATGGTTTGAACACTTTTTTGTTTTTGTACTTAATCCTTCAGCAGACGACAGTGAGTCAACGCTATATGTTCTCCTACAAACAACTCCAAATAATGATGGCCATTCATCTACTTCACGACTGGTGATGAAATCTCGTCTTCTAACTTGCAATCAACAAAAAAGTTGGCTACAAACAAGTCAAGGATACGATCACATATCAACGTGAACAGCGCTCATTGAGTATCAGCAGCGATTCTCAATTTTTTTTATTCGCATGGAGACTGTTATACTTCCAAAGTTTTGGAAAAATACTCCGTGTAACGTAATGAATCTTAAAAAATCGAATTTCATCTGTCTTGCTTGTCCAATTTTCTGATTAGATTCACTTGCTGATATAGGCAGTTGAATACTATTATAATTGTTGAGCCGCACTGTTCTAGAAATGATTCATTAAAGATTATAATGTAATACATTTTTATATCATATTTAGTGACTTATACTTAACAAAGTTTATATCAACTCACTCTGTCTTTCTGGTAAAAAGTTTGCACACGCTATTTCCCCTACACCCATTCTCCCATCAAGTTGAAACTTCGCACACTTATTCATTGGCATAGACAAAACATGAATCAATAAAAAAAGAGAGAAAGAACCAAATTAGTCAATTAATTACTGGAAATGAATATTTTTGTGTGATAACAAAAAAAGGAAAATTAAT